ATCCTGCAGGGTACCACACAGAATCTAAAACTTTAATGAGATGATCCAGTATCTTGCGAAAGATTCTAGTATTACAAATAACTTGTTTGTTTTACCTAGTGGGTGGGAAAACCATAAGTTACTTTAATTTTTCTATAAGAAGAATTTATTAGTTTGATGCCATGGCCCTCTAGTGCCCCAGGCTAGGGGGCCATGGCATCAAACTCTGGGCTCAGGTGATCCTTCTAGCTCAGTCTCCTGAGTAGCTAGGACTACAGGTACCCACCATAACACCTAGCTAATTTTTTCAGTTTTTTAAAAGAGGGGCTTTGCTTTTGCTCAGACTGATCTCCAACACTTGAGCTCAAGGGATATGCCTACCTTAGCCTCCCATAGTGCTAGGGTTACAGGCATGAACCACTGTGCCCAGCTTATAAGTAGAATTTATTTATTTATTTTTTTTTTGAGACAGAGCCTCAAGCTGTCCCCCTGGGTAGAGTGCCGTGGTGTCAAAGCTCACAGCAACCTCCAACTCTGGGCTCAAGCGAGTCTTCTGCCTCTGCCTCCCAAGTAGCTGGGACCACAGGCGCCTGCCACAACGCCTGGCTATTTTTTGGTTGCAGCCATCATTGTTGTTCGGCAGGCCCGGACTAGATTCAAACCCACCACCTTAGGTGTATGTGGCTGGCGCCTTAGCCACCTGAGCCATAGGCACCGAGCCTATAAGCAGAATTTTAACTGCAATTCTGTCTTTTTGCTTCTCTCTCCAGTCTTCTTACTGGAAAATACTTTCTCCCACATTACCTGTTGCAACTGTGGATCCTAGTCGCCAAAGCTCCAAGTGATGGGCAAACTGGAAGAGGAGAAGCTGCCTTCTTTTTGAACAGGAAATGAGACGTCGCTATATCCAGGAATTGAAAAGTTGAAAGTAAGCCAGGGTCATTTATTGCCTCAATTCTAGATACACCAGCAATATCTTAGTACATTTTTTCCTGTTGAAATTCATTTCCTCGACAAATATCTCCAAAGTACTACTATATACCAGGTACTATCCTAGGATCTAAGAATACAAAAATGTTAAATAAAAACATAGCTACTGCTCTCAAGAAGCTTCTAGTCTAGGCAGCGCATGTGGCTCAAAGGAGTAGGGAGCCAGTCCCATATACCAGAGGTAGCAGGTTCAAACCCAGCCCCAGCCAAAAACTGCAAAATAAAAAAAACAAAAACAAAAACAAAAAACTTCCAGTCTAAAAGGTAATACAAAAAAAAAAATTTTTTTTTTGAGACAGAGCCTCAAGCTGTCCCCCTGGGTAGAGTGCTATGGCATTACAGCTCACAGCAACCTTCTCTACCAGTGGAAATCAGAAAAAAAATGGCTTGGTTTAGTAAGCTCCCAATACGAAAAGGAAAGCAGCTGAGTACTTCCTTCACTTCTAGCTTATGAAAGATCACAGGTGGGTGGAAATGAATTATGTATGGCCTCACTATTATTCCACTACAAACAACAGGACCCAAACATTTCCTTAATAAGTCACACAAAATGCCACTAGGCTGTCACTCAGTAAGATCCATGTGACCTTTTTCATGCAGAATCATCACCACCCATCATCAAATCTTGTCACTTTTCAAAAGCCTATTTTCATCACAGCCAACCTAGGTCAAATTATGATTCTTCATCCCTCACCTTAA